CCCCAAAACCCCAAAACCCCGTATTGACTTGAATCTAGAATTAAATCGATGATGTCAACGATTTAGATAATTAAAATACTTTAAATTTAAGCGTAAACGTCACTACTTTGAACGTAAACATAATGACCCAAACATAACCCCCAAAAATCACACTTGCCAGTCAAGCTAAGAACTTCCTCATTGGAGGACTATCAGGAATGATCGCTACATGCTTTGTAAGAATCATAGACCTAATAAATTCTTCCTGAAATCTTTTAATTTGTCAATGATAGCTTAAAATATCTTTTTTAGGTACAACCGATTGACATGGTAAAAGTCAGAATTCAACTCAAAAGCGAAGCTGGAGGTAACCTCAGTCCATTCCATATTGCCAGAGAGATCGCAGCTGAAGGAGGAGTAAAAAGCTTTTACAAAGGGTAATATAAAATTGATTAATGCATATGTTAGTATCGATTCAGCCTTGATGAGACAAGCAGTGTACACGACAACTAGATTAGGAATTTATTTCTCATTGAGTGATTATCTCAAGTATACTGTCAATGGAGGTTCAAACATGACCTCATGGCAAAGAGTTTACTCATCTTTATTAGCAGGTGGTATCGGATCTATCTTTGGAACACCAGCTGATCTAGTCCTCATTAGAATGCAGAGTGATTCAACTTTACCAGAAGCTTAAAGAAGAAACTACAAAAATTTCTTTGATGCCTTCTCCAGAATTGTGAGAGAAGAAGGCCTACTAAGTTGCTGGAAGGGAGCTACACCAACAGTTGTTAGAGCTATGTCATTGAACCTTGGTATGCTCGTATCATATGATGAATCAAAAGAGAGATTAACAAAATATCTTGGAAACAGTCCAAACACAGTCTGGGCTCTTTCCAGCTTTATCTCTGGTGGTATAGCTGCAGCAATGAGTCTACCCTTCGATAACGTCAAGACTAAGCTTTAAAAGCAAACAAAAGGCCCAGATGGAACTCTTCCATACAAGAGCTTTATTGACTGTGGTATGAAGACTGCAGCAAGAGAAGGAATTTTAGGATTCTGGGCAGGTTTCCCTACATACGTTGTCAGAATAGCCCCCCACGTCATGATTGTAAGAATTACTTAATCTAACATAAATATAGACACTTGTGGCCTCAGAATATTTAAAGAAGCTTTTAAAATGAGAAAATATCAAAATCTCCAAATACAGAAGTCACTATCAAGTCTAATCTTAACTTCAACTAGATATTAAATTTACTTAATTAAACTAATCATTTCAAATTAAAGCCAAGTCACCCTCTCTTTCTATATCGTTGTCAAATTTATAGATTCTTCCTAGATTTTGATTACTGTAATTAATTACTGTTATTTACCTTTTGTTTATTCAGGCATTGTGGGGTTTTGGGGTTTTGGGGTTTTGGGGAGATCGGAAGAGCGTCGTGAGGGA